GAAACGGTGTACAGAGAGCGTTTACGTCTAAACGCTTCACAATAAACAGCTGCTCGAGGCGACCGCGAATCTTGTTGGCGGAGAGAGATAGAATTTTACTGATGAAACAGAGTGGCAATAGGGCACATGGTAATCAACGAACAAAAAGCATCTGGTGATACGAAGAGATTTTAATAAAAAAAATTTTCATGCATTCGGTAAACTCAATTTTTTCAAACGCGAACGTAGAACAATCGTCACAGAACAAAAAGTAACAGACGTCAAACGAAACATAATTACTCATATATTACTTGGAGAACGATTATGTCCAACGCAAAACATCGATTAAAATTTCTGAAGAGCCCAAGTCGACCTCGTCAAAATGTTTGGGCCGTTGGGAGGAGCAGTAATTTGGTCCGGCGAACGTTGCTTCCAAAAAGGAAGTTTAATCGTCACACGTTATTAGGGAATTAACAAGCCAGAAAATAGCTTACGTGACTTTACAGGCGCATATGTATGCACGTGAACGTGTTACACGGTCGAAAGACGCGACAGCCGATTTTTTGGGGAGATTAACAAAATTTAAATTCGTGCAAAAAATACAAGAACACTTCTATTAGTTTCATTCGCACGGCTTTGAAACTGTACTATGAACCTCCGATTATCCGAATTATTCATATGCACGATACTTTAATATTCTTATCTTTTCATGTTTATGCAAGATAATTATACGCATAAGTTAACGAACGTTTCTTAGAAATTATTGTCAACCATTTACATTTCTCCAAGAATGGTAAGAATTGTACCTACATTAAAATTCTGACATAATCTCCTGTAATCTGGAAGCTATTGCATTGTACCACTCACGTTGCTACATTTTTTGCCACTTTTATCGCGGAGAGACTCCATCCCGATGCATTGTTGCGCAAATTTTGTTCTGCTTTATTTTGCACCCGGCATTCAGCGTCAACCGATTTTTTTTTATTCGCTTCTCGTTAAGGTACAAATCGTTACTCGTGAAAATAAGCACAATGCGAGCGTAATCACCGACTACTGAATGGGTTGTGAAACGTGGAATAAATTTTTCTATGGCAGTTAGGAACACTAGCTGATTAAGAATTAACCACAGGCTATATTAATCGGAGCACAATAATGAATGAATTCAGCACGTGTTCAGTGCGAGACATTGCTGTTTTATTTTACAGAAAAGAACAGTACGTGCCGAATAGTAGAAATTCTCTTCAAAATTCTTCTGTACAATGGAGTACTGATAAATAATTTAAGCCACGAAAAAAACTTTCTCTTTTCATCAACTTCAGGAAGCAGGAGGTTCTTTATTAGGTACATATTTTTTGTTATATACGTATATAATAATACTATTATTATAATAGTATGTATGTTCAGTCATTAGAGATTAATCTGTAATGAATGGAATGATAGAGATAATATTAATAAGATTATTTAATTTCGTTCCTATTTTGGCATCGACTTAAACAAAAAAAATTTCCATTTTTAGCTCTCCTTTGAAGACCATTTTTCCTTTAAAGTATATTATTCCTAAACAACTCATGTCTGATAAAAGTCGTTTACAGATCAGACAGCAGCCATTAATTACAATATGGTATATTTAAATGTACAAATGATATATGTATACTTAAATGTACAAATGATATATGTATACTTAAATGTACAAATGATATATGTATATTTAAATATAGTAGAGAATTTTAAAAGATACAAGGAAATACTTCACACTGTTGTATAATTTATCAAGTTATCAAGGAATCGCTAAGCGCAGAGCGACTCTTTAACTCCGCGGATTCTCGAATATCAACCAAAAATGGATATCCTAACGAGAAACAAGGAACGTCTATCTCTTTCCCTGTATACATTCTATAATGGAAATGTCACGTTCTATTCGTGGCACCACGTGCAGCGCGATATAGAGCAACGCGTCGTCGTCGTCTCTCTTCTCCGGCGAACGAGCAAGCCGAAACGTGGCATTAACTTTTCCCGGGTCGATGTGACGGCTCCACGATTAACGGTACCAGTAACGGGTAACGGATCCGCGAAACAATTTAGACGCTGTAGCACGGTCATCTCGTTCGAATTTCATTATCGTTGACCGATTTATCGCGATTGTCGTCAGGGATTCGATTAAAATTAGCAACGTTTAAACAATTTCCAACGTAATAATGAATAATTACCATTTCTCGCGGAGAACGGCAAACGAAGCGTGTTGTTGTTCCAAAATTTATTGTACATAATTAAGCATAGTTCATACCGTAATTAATTCTTTCATTGCAATGAGTTCAGCGATGGGCTTCAGTTAACGTGAATCATAAATTCCTTCGTTTTCCAAAGGTTAACATTATTTTAAAAACCATTGTTCATTGCAATCCGAAATTATAATACAGAGGGAATGTAGAAAGCCGAGCGCGAAAAATGTTTCAAACAGGATGGCCTTGTAACTAGAGAGAGAATTCAACCGCGTGCGTACGTTATATCCTATACTGTATACAAAGAGAGAAAAGTCCTGCTTGTCGCATACAATTTGTTACGTTTTAATTAACGGGAACATCAAAGCGTCGTGCAGAAAAATGTTCGAAGTAGCTCTACCGGGAAAGAAAGAAATAGGAGCGTTCAAATAGAATGGTTATTCTGCGGGAAACCCGGCAACCACAGAAGTGTTAACAAGCGGCGGTTCTGAACGGAGAATCATTATGAAAATTCGACTATATCTTTGGCAATGCACACAGTGGACCAGTGACTTTTAGCACTTGAATATTTCCCATATATTGGAACGTATGAAAAAACTTTATTAACCAAAGTTGCTCGGGTTAAAAAAGGCTATATCGTCTCGGTAAAAGTATTTTTGTAGATGGAAGAGTTACGAAGATTTTATAGTAACCTCCACTTTTTTTTTAATGCAGTCATATATTTTTTGTATGGACCAGTTGATCCTGCTTGATATTTTCTATAAAGAAGTATTAACCCATGTAAAATTATTAATTTAGGAGATATTTTTAATTTAACTTTATTTAATTCATCACTTTCTCAACATTAATACAGATATCGTAAATTCCGTCAGCCATGGGAAAACGATTGAATTATACTTTCGCGAAATAAGAATGTAAATATGCTAACGTGTGCTACGATTTCGATCATAAATTTCCCATGTATAAGAACGCGAGAAGATTATCAACCAATTAACCAAACTAATGTGATTAGTATACAATAATTACTCTCTCTATAATGCAATAGCAATGCAGTGAAAGTGATCGCCATCGCTGAACTGAGAACTAATTTATTATGAATAAGACTTTGGAAGAGGAAATACTGACGAATCCAATTTCTGACGTGAGTCGAGGATCTGAGTTCTTGCCTGATTTGAGATTCCTGTGACTGATAATAGGTCAAGTATTCCGTCTAGAAGGAATTCGTTTATGTCACGTTATTATAACGGAATTTTTTAAAGTCTTTCGTAGGCTAATTATCGTAGGCAATTATTTCAAATTATATAAAAATTAGAGAAGTCGCTTATTACAATTTTCTTATTTAAACCCTCATGAAAATTTAAAATATACGTTTTATAGACCTATCTTGAATTACATCCGTGCTGAAAATTTAATTGGAATTAATTATCTCAATGTTTCCGAGTCACATTTCGTTATTTCGTAATATTTATCTACAGTTTTTCGAAATAAAATGATGTAGTAAGAAACATTATCAACGAGAATTGATAATACCACGAATGGACAAAATATCTGTTCCTAAGTGGCTGGTACAGAGTGGTCGCGTTGGCAGTTCGCTTACTCCAATCGTATGAGACCACGTTTCACGTTCAGATGAATCATCACCGGCGTGAAAGCATCCCATTTCTTTCAACGATTATAAGACACGTTTACAACCGTTGCCAACTGCACATACGGATACACTTTGAGCAGCGAACTCCGCTAATCAATCATTTAAAAGTCACGACTACTAATACAATTACTTACTATTAATTGTTTTATCTTCAAATGTACCTTTAAATTTTCTTAATCTACAATACACATAAAGTACACTTATCAGAAAACGCACGTGGGACAGGTTATTTACTTATTGAACTTTTTTCGTAGAAAAATTTTGGAACCTAATCTAATCAATACAGCTGAGACTTTAGTACATATGTTCTAACTTTAAGAAGTTCGTTACTCAAAACAGAATGTTAAGTTAGGTTATACGGATCGTGTTAATTATTTTTACACACAGTTGATGAGATATTCGTGTTAATGTAGGGAAATTTAAGAAGATTACCGTTGGATTAAGCTGGCTTGGGATTATACATATGTATACATACAACCAAGTATGGACTGCTTGTTAAATAACTAGTTTCGGAGGAACCATTCACTGTAGTCAAACTCTATTATACGAAACTGTGATGCAATATATAAAAATGATTATGACGCACACGACCTGTCATCATTAACATAAACGCAACCTACGCGCGGCAGCTAACATTTTACTTTGGAACAATAGTTCTTTCGTTCGACTGTAATGAAAAGAAATAAATTTTATGATCGAAACATATGTTCGTTTATCGATTGTGAAGTTTTCCTTGCTCGCCCCATAACAACACATTCAAAAAATAAATGAAGCTTTTCCATTCCATGTCACGTACACTCTCGAAACAACTTCTTATAAATCTGAGATTAGCAAAATGCAATACTTTCAATTTTCGTTAAAGGCGATATTTTATAAAGTTTCAAAGTTGTCCATATGGTACTTCCAGACCATAATAAATAGAAATAAAACGAGATTTTTAAAATACACAGTCGACATTCGTCTAAATTACTCTAAACGAACTTTGCAGAGCAAACATCGTCCCATTAAAATTGAAAGTGAAAAGTCACACTTTGCTGTCTAGTCACGGGAATAAATTGAAATAAAAAAGAGGAGAGATCGCACGTAGCTCGAGGAGAACCAACTCTCCCGATCGCGAACGTTTAAACCCTTGCGTTGATTCAAATGTCACTGACCTTGAATCGAACTTCGTACCATCTTGTAGCGTGCCGATATAGTGCATCGTCAGCTGGTCACCGATCTTCGACTTGTTGTCGCATACTTCCGGCACGTAGAGCTTCTCGACCTTCAAACCCGATTGGTTCTGATCCGCCCTGGCGAGAACAAGAACGGTGGCGACGAACACGAGAACCACCGTACGGCACGTCGCGAGCACGACACCCGCGTTGTTGTTTACTAAACGGACAGTCATGATTCAGATTGATTCCCTACCGAATGCTCGTGAGCAACTGACTCGGCGTAGCGCTCTACTCCGCCGAACTACCTTCGCTTCCCTCTCCCTGAGAGCGTTAGCTGCGCTGCGCTCCGTGCTCCGTTTCGAGATCACGCGAACGTGTTGGAGAAAGACGGGAGAAGGCACCGTGCCGCCACATTGCGCCGTCTCATTGGCCCCGCAGAATATGTAGGTCTCTGCCTCGGCCTCTTTTCCACCTGCCTCCCGTCTCTCTCCGTCTCGTACAGTATTATTCTCTGTGTCTCCTTTCCGCTTCGACTCCCGCGTTCCAGTCCTCGTTCTCTTCTTTTTTCCCTTCCGTTTTCTCTCGTCTTCCAGCTACGTACAACTCTCTCTTCTTTCTTCACCGTGCCCACGCCTCGCCGCATCGTCACCTCTTCTCTCTCCCTTATCTCTCGTCCTCGTCTTAACGTTGTTCGCCATTCGTTCCACGCTTCGGTTCTCCAAGCGTCGATCTTGCTTCCTGTGGAACGCGTGTACCGGCCGGTTGCTACGTCACCAGCGAACGAAACCTTCCAGCTCTCTCTTTCTTCGAAGCTCTTACCATAAACCACGCGAGAAGCCTTCCGTTAAATAGTCGCGATCAACTTCGAAACGCGTCTCTCTATCCAGGCTAATTTGTAACGGATGGAAGATACGTGGTTTCAAGCGAGAATTAACACGTTGATTATAATTATTATTGACACATCCGATTCAGAATTTCTTAAAAGATTCAGAAAATCATAGTAATTGATCATGGCAGTAGTTATACTTAAAAAAGATAGTAATTTCAAAGTGCAGCACGATAATATGTGAACACGAATTGCATTATAACGTTCGATAATGAAATCAATCACGTACATTCCCTGTAATAAGATAAATTGAAAAAAGTTTTAGAATCAAGAATTATATTCAGTGGGAGGAACAAAAATTCAGAGCGGAGAATTATCCAACGGTAAAAAGGATTCGCGAGAGAACGCAGGCATCAAAAACAAGATGGAAATACGGTTAGAGTACCAGCGGAATAAGAACCTGCGAGCGGAGTTTCTCAAACGTAGAAACCTCCCTAAAAACGTTAACAAAGGGATAAACTAACTACAGAAGTCGGCTGGATCGTGTCAAAAAAATAACCAACCACGTTTCGCTCCATTCCACGAATTACACACCGTGGAATATCTTCGCCCACGGTTTCATCCACTTCCGCTAACAAAAAATTTCAACCTCCATCGTGCAACTTCCCCGGCTAAAGACTTCAGACTTTCGAGAAAAACAAACTTCGTTGACGTTTACTTCCGTCGACGATTCCCGCCGACGCGACTTCGTAATTAATTTCCCTTTACTCATCTACTCGTTTCTCAACCTTCTCCTCGTCTTCTCGCTCCTCGTCCTACTTACCCATTTACCACATTGCCTCGCGAGACGTCTTTCCAGTTACGTTCATCCCCCTAGCATTCCTTAATCTTCATTTCTTTTTTTTTTTCTTTAAATTTCAGTCGCTTTGTCGGCTTGCTATATCTTCGCTCCCTCGCCCATTACTCCGTCCCCTTATCCATCGTGCGCTCGTTTGCCATCCTCCGCTCGTTTTTCTCTATGCAACAGATATCGTTCTAATGCATCTGGCCCTTTCGCGCGTTTTTCTTCTTGCTCCTCCAACCCTTTCTCTTTCACGCCGCGCTCATCGTCCTACTTTCTTCGGCCACGACACACCGTTGGCTCTTGTCGCATGCACCACCGTTCTCTAAAGTTACACGCGTATATCTACATACATACATATGTACATATACATATTTCCGCATTTTTGCTCTGTGCCGTCCGTGATTCGTGACTACAACAGCAATTCCTGACGATTAATGAGTGTCGCGAATTTTTACACGAAAATTAAATAATCGTCACTCTGGATTTTAATGAATCCTTTAAGAATTGCATCAAAATTGTAATAGAAACGCGAGGTTCAAGCAGATTATAATATCTTATTTTAAGCATGATTGATTTCATTATTCATTTTATAATTATCAGCGAACAAACATACGTTCGATGTTAATAAAAAAGTATTGTGCAAACCGGTGATGCACATATACTAGCCACTAATCCGTATGTTTTATACATACTACGAATAAATAAAGAGGCCGACAAGAAAATATTGAACCGACAGCCATGAATGCAATCGCAGAGTCCAGAGATGTTCAGAGGGGGTGAGACAGAACTCCCGTCGCCGGATATGCTATTTTTTTATTCATTGCGTGGCGTGTAACAATCCTTTCTAATTACACATCGAATCCTGCACGAATTTCGCTGGATTCCCCGTTAAATTAAAACGTTCGTCAGCAGCGCGATCAATCCTTGTCGGCCATTCTATCGTTCGCGTATTCGCACCAATATCGCGACAGCTTATAAAGTTTTCGAGCAATGCCGCGAACGAACTCGTTCCAATTACAAACACTGGCAACTTTATTCGCGCTTCTTTCTGCTCTACTAGTTTATTCACTTAGTGTTTTGCCTGTCTACGTCTGCACGTGTGTATACCGTATCGTACGTTGGAAAATCGGAAATTCTCATTCAATCGCTGCTCTTTAGTAGAATATAACCGCGTTTGAAATAAACTGCTTTGAACATATACGAAGCAGTAAGCGGATTACGATTGAAGGGATATTGAAAGGAACGTTAGTTCGAGGAAGAGTGATTGCTCAAACACAATTTAATTGCTGAAATCGAGATAAGTGAAAACCTTTTAGTTTAAACCAGACAATTTAAACGCAAATTGCGGGAGTGTTAAAAAAATTCGAGGTGAAAATTCTTATCTTTCTCACAACTAGCGAGATGATTGAAGCAGTTGTTGTTTCAAGAGTTTTTGCTTCTAGATAACGTTTTATATCATTTCCGGAGATATATGGTACGCGGTTGTACATATAAAATAGGTGTGTTTTCCTAGAAGGATGTGCAGATACCGCAACTTTATTGTGCACAACATGAAAATCCTGAGGGCGAAAGAATTTTTTTTTATCAAATGATAAAAGATTATTAAATATGTTTAAACAATTTTGATTTTATTTCGTTGTTACTATATTCGTATTCATTCATATTGTATTTTACTTTATTAGTTTCGTTATATTATGTTATGCTGTTGAAAAAGTTTCTTTCGATATCAGAACGCAAATTTGCTTCATTTATTACAAATTGGGAACAGGTATTTCCTTACTGGTTTTAATCATCCTGAAATCTTAATTGTCAGTCCCATTTACAAAAATCATTATTATCGCCAACAGGTAAGTGATTAAATTTATAATTCAATTAAAAACCAAATAAAGTTTGGTTTAATTGAGATTTGACTTATTAGGAATTAAAATGATTTAATTGGATTAATTGGAAGAAATTCGGATCAATAATTAAATTTTAAGTAAAGAGCTCTAATTCTCGATTTAGATTGAGTGACATTTAATCGTTAATTATTAATGCGGCAATTAATATCTGCAACTCTGTCGTCGTCGTTACAAGTATATCAATAAAACAGCACATAAGTATAGCGCAGCAGGCATACCGGCATGTACAAGATGGCAATGATACAAGNTTTCCTAGAAGGATGTGCAGATACCGCAACTTTATTGTGCACAACATGAAAATCCTGAGGGCGAAAGAATCTTTTTTTATCAAATGGTAAAAGATTATTAAATATGTTTAAACAATTTTGATTTTATTTCGTTGTTACTATATTCGTATTCATTCATATTGTATTTTACTTTATTAGTTTCGTTATATTATGTTATGCTGTTGAAAAAGTTTCTTTCGATATCAGAACGCAAATTTGCTTCATTTATTACAAATTGGGAACAGGTATTTCCTTACTGGTTTTAATCATCCTGAAATCTTAATTGTCAGTCCCATTTACAAAAATCATTATTATCGCCAACAGGTAAGTGATTAAATTTATAATTCAATTAAAAACCAAATAAAGTTTGGTTTAATTGAGATTTGACTTATTAGGAATTAAAATGATTTAATTGGATTAATTGGAAGAAATTCGGATCAATAATTAAATTTTAAGTAAAGAGCTCTAATTCTCGATTTAGATTGAGTGACATTTAATCGTTAATTATTAATGCGGCAATTAATATCTGCAACTCTGTCGTCGTCGTTACAAGTATATCAATAAAACAGCACATAAGTATAGCGCAGCAGGCATACCGGCATGTACAAGATGGCAATGATACAAGATCGTATCGTGAATTTAGAGTGAGTTAAAGTAAGCATATTCGCGTATTTCAACCGACGGAACGTGCCACGTGGTGGGCGGTTGCGTTAGATATGAAGTTTAATTAGTAATGTTAAAGATGCATTATAGTATTTCAAAGTCAGACTAATCAGGATTAAGTCCTAGGCAATATTTTTACCAATGTTTTTTACAAATATCTCGCAAACTAAAACCGTATAGGAAAAAATTGTTGAGAATGACGAACTTGACAATATGTTCAAATCGGCGGGGTACGATGGGAAATAGCGATCTATCGTTATGTAATCGAATCGGTATGACCGGCTCGAACTGCGTCGGTGTCGCAGACATCTCGGCCGAGAGTCGTGATCTCGGTTGGTTCACGCTATCGCACCGCGACGCGTCTACATTCTGACTTCATGCATACAAATTATGTGATTTGTGGGGGATTCGGCCTTTTGAAAGTTTCCAAGTCCGCGGAACAAGGGGATTTTCCATCGCGCGCCATCGTCGATCCTCAGGGAAAGAGCATCGGATTCGATCGCGTTAAATCAAACGCCGCGACCGGGTAACAAACGAGGAAGTTTTTCGATCTTGCCTGGGTGCGTGCCGAGCTAATTTCATTGAAAACAAAAATAATCTCTTGACAATTATTCATTATGTTTTTTTATTAAATTTAACTAAACAAATACGAGATATATGTACTTCGAATCATATTTGGTATGAAAATTATTCATAATGCGAATAATGAAAATTATCTTATAATGAGAATAATAAAAATTATTTTATAATGGATGTTGTTCATCTATTCAAAATGATACATAGTATATAAGTCCACACT